TTCCAATCCCTACCTGAAAAGATTTGTCACAAATTAATATGTTCTTACCCCCCAAGAAATGCAAAATGAAAACCAAAAAACCCTCAAACTGACACCCAAAATAATAATTTGTCTTGGGAAATGCAAATTAAAAGCATAGTAGTTGTGAATCAGAAAATTACCTCTAGAGCATTAAATAAATCTGTGAAGAATTAGTGTCAATCAAAGTAGCAAACACCTACTCTCCTAACATTTCTTAGAAATAAGAACTAGGTTCTTGCTGATCATGCACTGACATCAGATGATCATTGTCCATGTTTTCCATTGTATTTTCTTGTGATAGAAAAGGATTAGCCCAGGGACATGAGTTGATTTTATTGCTGGGTTTGTGAGCATTCCAGCACTCAACTGATAGTACCTGGGGTTAAGAAATTAAAGTGCCATACCAAAGACTATACTGTTCATCAAACCTCTGCCTTTTTCTAGTAAAGAAATGAGACTTTTGGCATGAAGACCCTGTCAATAAATATAAATGCTGGCAATCTGAGCACTTGCAGCAAGACAAAGCGGTAGCAGAATGAATCATTGACTGTCCAGTGACTTTGGAGGTGAGCTGCAGAGGAGTGTTGTTTATCAAAACATTTGCACTACAACATTGCTTCTCCTGCCCTAACCCTCTAGGTCGCACCATATGTAAAATCATACCTACCTATGATATATGCCATGTTTCTCCTTTCTTTCCAGCAAGATGCTGAGTGGAGGAATGACGTAGACCTGAATTAGCTAGATATATGTGGGGTTTATTTTCTTTTCATTGAGTTTTCAACATGTGATACAAAATTTATGAAGAATCTGTTAAAGCAAAAGCAGAAACAAGCTTTCCCCCTCCCAAATTATACTATTCATGATAAACTGGGGAAAAAAAAATAAAAGAAGCTTTTTCAGTTAATGTGTTTGATCCTCAAAAAGGAATGAATAAGCAAAGACTTGATGGAAATGGATGGGCCTTTTTAATCTTAAGGGCTATTCCAGCATGCATCTACATCATGCATAGTGGTTTATGGTAGTGATACTGTTAGATGATCTGACTATAATGGTGTTTTCAGCAATGCAAGAATGCTCATGAAAACAATAGCATGGATTTAAGCTTTGTGTAGGCATTTCTGTAGGAATATGGCTTTTTTTTGGGGGGGGTGAATGTACTGTCTACAAAAGCTTGACTAAAACAAGGATGCCTGAAAGTAGATTCTGACATACACACTAATTGCTGGATTTCTCATGGGAAAAACAGGGAATCCTCACTAGATCAGTTTGTTATCAGATTCCTAAAATTCCAGACAAGTGACTGATGGATGACAATCCATGCACATGATGTGGGCCTGATGTGATGCTCTGTGCGTTGAGCCAGCCATGGTAGGGTGGTGAATATGTGTTTTCAGTTCCCTGTGACTGCACATGGGATTTATGGACCTCTGGCATGGTGCTCCTTGGCTTTCAGCATATGGTGGAAGAGTGCCCCTAAATCTACTACAACTTCAAAATATTTACAAATCGTGCAATTGGAGACTGCTAAAAATCAGGCAGTGCTTTCTGTTCTGAAGCATGTTAGGTAAAATCTAACTGGATTAAATACACAGGTACAAAAGCAAGACATTTTCATTTGTAATGCAGTATTAAATATGTCATGTCCATGACCATGGCACATTATGATAATTTATGCAATTTATTCATCAGATGGGGCAAGAAACCTATCTGAACTACAGTTCAGTTGTCTTAATTACACCAAGAATACAACTGATATTGCTTTATGCTTCCCCAGCACCTGAGGATCTCAGAACTTCTCAGATAAAAATCTGTTGCATTTGTCTTACTGTGGTTTGATGTTTAGTTTGGTGGAATTATTCAGGGCATTGTACAAGAAACAAAGTTACGGGTTTTTCTGTGCCTTTGGCAGTTCACTCCTAACACTAAAATGTAAATAGAGATTATAATGACTAAAGGGAGGAAGTATGAAAGCTGCTTAAGGCTCTCAGAAAGCTCAAAAAAGTAATAAAATTTAAAAGAACATTAAAAAGGATGGCTTCTATTAATTAAGCCCCAAATAATTTCAGTCATAAGGAGGAGCTATTGTTCTCACAGAATCTGACAGGTATTGAGCCGTTCAGTCTGAAATGGGATCAGCAGCATGCAGGCAGCTTTGAGGGGGAACCAAATGTGTGAACAAAGAGCGATTAGGCATGGGACTGGTAATGAATGACTGTTGGCAAAATGGAAGTTTACAATCACTAAAGCATTTGACTGCTGCAGGAAATTACTTGGAATTCGCTACTTGTTTCCCAGTTCTTATCAGCCTAAAGGTAAAGGCCTGTAATGATCATCAGGTTATTTAGAGAGAAAGTCTGATTCTTTGTGGTAGTAAAGTACTCATTATTTGGCTGCAAATTATACAAATTATAGTTCTTTTTTTTTTTAAAGCAAGTCTTACAATCTCTAGTGGTTACACTATATTAATTAAGCATTAGTTCCCCAGTAGTGCACTCTTCTGTTGTGTTCCTGTCATAGTTTGCAGATAACATCAGTAGTAGGGATTTTTAATAATGAATGCACAGTGGTAACAATATATAACTAATCTTAGAATTTAAGCACATCCCCAAGGCTTTTAAAGTCAAATACAGGCTTAAGCGATTTACAGAACCATGACCAGAATGTCTATAAAATAAAACTGGCACTACTTTTTCCTAACAAAAATTATAATTAAAAGGACCTGAATGTAAACATGTACCACCCATATAGGAAAAAATAAAACACCGTCCTATCCAAAATCAGTAACAAATTTCTGTGGTCTTTTAATTTATATTTTGATGATGGAAGTCCTGGTTAAAGGCTTATTCCAAAGAGTGGAAGATCAATACCAGAGTAAATCTCAGTCACTTCTGCAGATATCATGGGATATTACCTTCAGAAACAGGCTTCCTCAAACACAACTGAGCTGTCTCATGTACTAGAGGTAAAGTATTTAAATATGTTGTGGAATAGAGATCTGGATGGAGATTTTGGTTTGATGGGATGACATTTAATAGTTTGAAACTGCAAAATAGGATGTGAAAAATGCTTAATATGGACCACAAACTAAATGCCACAGAGTTTTCAATATGGTGACATAACCATACTATGATCTATCTTTTTCCTTATAACAGCTCTCTTTTTTTACAGGATATGTGTGAACAGATATTGAGTATGTCTGGTGTATATCTGCATAGACTTATTAATTTCATTTTTTGAAATTATTTCTGTGTGACTTTTCTGTTGTCGAATCTGTTTGGATAAACAACACTCCACTTCATAACACATACATAAATGCAAGATAAATTTATACACACCCATTTGTAAAGTTGCAAAAAAATATGAAAAATAATGGCAGCGAACAAAACAGAAAATATGATGTCTTTCATTTGGTTTTGGTGGCTAACTATACACATAGGAAAAATATCAGTAAAACCCAGTCACCATATTGATCATAAATGACAATGATGTTTTATAATCTAGTTAAATCTCTGGTTTCCGTAGCATGCTTTGCTTCATATGTAAGAGGTGTGCAGCAGGCACCAAACATGCACTTAGCATGTCATCATCAGAACTAGCTCTGTACATCTTGGGTGCTAATTGCAGTCTAACATTCAGTGGACACCTTCCCAACAGCACATACATGGGAAGTCTTCATGCAAGCCCTAGGCAAACCATGCATGCATCTAATTTATTCCCTGTGCTTTCTCCTGAGTTTTAATTCTGAGAAAAATCCACCTGCAGAATGTATTTAAAGCATTGTAGTTGCTTGTGGAAACACTTTAGAGTAAACTTCAAGGGCACTACTTTCAGTAAGTGGATGTCTGACTACAGAGATGAAAAAGTGAAGCATAAAGTATCATTTCATGTAAAAGTATTAATGACAATAGGAAAGAAGAGAAGAAAAATAGGCAACTGGAGGAAATATATTCCCCCCAAAATTGTCTTTTAGATGGATGATATAATTATACTATGACTGTGGTCACTTAGGTTAAAACTGATCACTGGATTATTTTTTTTAAGTACTGCAAAATAAGGATGTCCTGCTTTACACTGACATCCTTTGGTTTTATTTAAGGTTTTCATGACTTGCCTTTTTTCACCAGGAATTCAGTGTTAAATCAAATAATCTTACCTATGTTTGTGAGTGCTAGAAACCACTAGAGCTCACAAAAAATTGCAAAGCAAAAGTGCGTGGTGTTTATGCTGAAAAGCCAAGAAAATACCAAATGTCTTGTCACATATCCTAGCTGTTTTTAGAACTTTTATATGGGATATGACTGCATGCACTCAAAATGGGAATGACGACCATCTAAAATGGCCAATCTCTGTCCTCTGATGAGATGAAAACTAACAAAAAGGATGTTGGCTTTAAAAAAATGTAAACCACAAAGAAAGACTTAAATCCTCTAAAGGAAAGTTTTAGGATTTGTTGTGCATCTTTAAGCAATTCTAACTGCATGGGGAAATTGTTTGACTTAAGTTGAATGCATTCAGGGTTACCAGAAACATGAACGTAAGTAACTTTTGGAGATCTTCCTAAATTAGAATTTAGTCCAAAGTTAATGCAATCTTTTTGCCAAAGCTCATTGCTTTCAAGGAAGTTTTGACCATGTCCCTGGAGTGTATGAAGCACAGCAGACTGTCCCATGAGTATAATAATATTTATGCCTGGTCAGTATATTAATTTCCAGATAACTGACTTTTAACGAAGTTTGAAGGTTTTTTCACAATCTTGTATTTATGCTTTTATTTTCTAGGTCTCTTAAAGAAACGTGAAAGCTGGCATTAAAATGCACTTTGGTGGCTTTTGGATTAAGAAAAAATAAATTCAAATAAATTGAATATATCCTGTGACTTTTTGAAAAACAAATTACTTCAGCCAAGGTGTCTTTTTATCTTTTTTTCCTATGTGTATATTAGATATCTAAATTGATTACTGCTTTATTTGTACTTACAAGTAAATGCTGGATTCATTGCCACCGATATCAGGTGACTGGAGTTTCTGCACAAGTATCACAATTATGCCAATAAAAAGCACAAAGTTTATCTAGGGAAAAAAGAAAGGACAAAATTATGACAATCTTAGATATTTTCCAAGTATAAGAGAGCAACTTAGGATGCTCAGAATTAGACACCTGCATGTGGTAAACCTAACTGTTTTTCATGTGCTACTAACCATATTATCTAGGAATTCAATTAAATTACCTAACTGGAGGAGCCTAACAGCATTTTAAAATTCCCATATTCTTCTAGAGCAGACGCTGGAGTCCAAACAGGTCTCTTTGGAATATTTCAGTCATTCTTACACAGGTATCTAGCATTATTCGAGTCAAATCCAAGACCTCCGTCAACCAAAGAGAGCTTAGATACCTTACTGAACAATTGAACATCTTGCACTATGTCCAAAATACTATTTATAAAGCTAATATCAGATAAATAAATGTGGCTGTGAAATTGATTCAATTCAACAGACACAATCCAGTTTCCTAGTTACTGGCATCTAGTATTGTTTTAGATGCCCTGGAATGCCCCACTTGGACTTCAGCTGTCACCCCAAATGGCACAGGATTCCCATACTTCCTGTGTTATATCTGACAGCCCCTGGCAAATGCTCTGTATGCTCTAGGGTCTTGGTATCTATGATCTTGGCGTTTAGTATTTATGTTTAAGTAGCTAGAGTAACTCCTTGTCTACTTAGTCTTTCTTTGGAGGCAGTGCGCCATCATTTAACTTGTAATAAACCTTCTTTACAATAATGGAATTACTTAGCATTGTGTATGGTAAATGGACATTCAGACAAGATGTCCAGTAGTCCAGCACAGCAGATGCAGCATCATTTGTAAAGCCATTTGAAACTATTTGCATTAGTTATTCACCCTGAGGAGTGTTGAGGAAGTGCCTTCTCCAAGTGCTACTTACCATGATAGAGCCAACCACGGGACCCTTGATCACCCACCACAAGGCAGTGTTGTCATTCATGTCCCAGCAGCTGCAGTTGTTAATGAAAGAATGGGAAAAGAAAAGAAAGATAAAGATATAACAAGGAAGTTAATAAAATTAAAGCAATTTTAAGAGTGCAGAGAGTGGGAGATTGGTCTTGTAGCTACATTATTTTATTTGGTTTCAAAGCTACTGGATCTTTAGTCTGTGACTTTTGTAGCTTTCTTTTACAGCCTTTGCCTAACTTATATGAAGTTAAAATCAGTATTTTTGTGGCAATTTCAATGGTACCTCTTAATAACATTGAGCTATTTCGGAAAATGCCTCTATGCATGTTTCTGTGGCTACAGACAGTACAACTGTAAAATTGTCCCTTTAACCTAACATCTTAGTGGAAAGGAAAAAAGACAAGTATAGCTCAAAAGGTAAGAGATGGTTATCCCAAAGTTTGATATCTCAGTTACTTTTCCAGGGTAAATAGATATGAATGTTTGATCCTGACCCTGACATAAGGATTCTTACACATATCTAGTATATGAGGATGTACTACAGACTGGTTGTATTCACATATACAAATGGTTTTCCAATTATTGGTTTGCAAGGTCTACGAAGGAACAATGATTCATCCAAGAAGGTTCAAGTTCTGCATAACAGTTGGGGTCAGCTCCTTTTTTAAGTGGCAGACATGACAAATAAAATGAAATTTCTACCTCAGAGCACTTAAAATCTTCTTCCAGATTCATCAAAAGATTCTGCTGAGGTTTATTCCATATAGATGCATTTAGACACCCATTTGTAGAGAAAGCCAGTTACAGGACCCTTATACATACAGGTTTTTAACTTTAATGTGTATTATTAAAGATAGACACATGATAATAACAATAATAAAAAAAATCTCATTTCCCCTGCCACTCCCCTAAACTACTTTAAGTCATTAAGAATTTGATTGTCAGTTAAAATGTTTTTTTATTTGTCTCCACTTTCTTCTCCTCATGCTTCTCTCTGGAAAACATAACATCGTGGAAAAAGTGTCTACTTTGTACATGCAGTTCTGAGAAGGAGGATTTCCCTCCCACTGAGACAACAGCCAGAAGTCCCAGCAGTGGTTGTCATGGTGCATTTGTCAGATGCCAAGAAACAATTTGAAAGAACATACAGGAATAAAACACTGTCTGTCTTGTGAGATCTTAATGCAACTTCCGTGTCATTTAAGTGAGAGTATCTGGAGGAAAAGTGAAAATCTCTAAACAAAACTATATACGTTTTATATAGTTTATATAGTTTTGTAAGTGTGAGGAGGCAAGAGCCAAAATTCCATCATCAAAGCCTATGTGAGAGATATCCCAAGCAGCTGAGTGAAGTCTAGTTTAGAAATTTCAGTTGAACTTATCTATGCAATATTTTACTGGATTCCCATAAAACCAACAATAAAGATGTGTCTGGTACAGCTGGTAAGAAGAGAGAAAATTTAGAGGTGAGATGTCAAATTTGCACATAATTACATATTTTTGCTTCTATCAACAAAGCTTAGAAACTCAAGATCCTCCCAGATATATAGGACTGATGATTGAGATTTTCAAATGCAAAGTAACATGTCTGATTTTCCTTACTTTGGATTCCCAATTTAAAATATTTGAAAAGAGACGTATGTTCAGGGGGACTCCTTCTCGCCCACAGTGTGGAAATCAGTGTCTCAGTTATCAACAATTAACGAAAGTACCTAAAATCATTGATTATGTTTTTCATTCTTTGCATGCATTTATAAATTGCTTCTCCTCTTCTGAAAATTGCCTACTATTTGCAGAGCTCAATGTCTTCAAGATGAACAGTAAATCTACCCTTCAAGTTTTTAGTGAGATGATCAATGCTGGAAGAATCTAGGCAAATTCTAATATTAATCTAATATTGATATCTAATATCTAATCTAGCTGTACAAATAAGCATTGATGTATAGCAATTTATCTATGTAGAAATGAAGAAATTAGAAGGGACAGAATCTCCCTGCTCTGGTTCCAGACATCTATATTGAAGACATCTACAAACCAGATATTTATCCCAGACTTTGGTTGGGACAAAGAGACACTTGGAGATTGTGTTTGGTGGTTCCAGACATCTATATTGAAGACATCTACAACCCAGATATTTATCCCAGACTTTGATTGGGACAAAGAGACTTGGAGATTGTGTTTGGTTTTTTTTTTATTTTTCACACTGATATTCTTTAAATGTGTACTGTGGGGCAATACATCATCCCCAACTAATGCCTATTCTTTTTAGACCTGTTCCTCTCCTTTTACAGGATGTGTCCCCAGCAAGCTCTACTTCCAGTGTCTACCTTGTAGGTGTCAACAATGAATCAGATCAAGCACACACAAAGGTTTTTTCCAAGGACCTTTTTTTGGTCCAGTCCTTGTGGCATCTATAGGATGGATGTGGTGGAAGAAACACCATCTTCTACTCAGATGAACATGACCGAAGGGAAAAAAAAGATGCACAACAGAACAGTCTGTAGTATCAGCCAACAAGCTGTACTACATAAATAGGCTACCTAATTCTTTTCAAATGCATTGCTACAATACAGGTCGGACACACAGGACTTTTTTTTTCAGGATGGATGAAGGGAAGGGAGCCAGTGAGCTGGGGAAGGGATGTGATTTCCATTTGAAAAGGCCAGAGTCTGATCTCTGTTACATCTCTGGTGTACATCTGGAATAACTCCATTTAATTCAGTAGCACAGCTCTGGATAAACAGACAGTTACATCTATCTCCACAAACCTGTCACTTACAGGAATGTGAATCAGGAGCTGAAGACGAGGGAGTTCTGCCAGTTTTATAAGGACTGAGCAGGATGAGACTTAGACTCCAAATCTGCATTTTAGCCCATGCCTTTGTGACTGTGGTTTCCCAGTTCAGTAATTTCTGTAACGCTTTCAAGCTCATGTTGGCTTCTCCCCCACCCCCAGAACAAAGCTTGCTGATTTTTAAAAAGTAACCACTGAGACGCTCAGTTAGAATCTGTATAAATGTGTTCCATGCTAAATAGCCTCTCTAAATAAAAGAAAGGTTTTGGGGTTTTTTTTGTTTGGTTTTTCTTTTCTTCTTTTTCCTCCTGTGAGACATTCCCCCTACCCACAAAATGCAAGGACTGTTTGAAGTCCTAAGAGAAATTAATGCATTTAGGACCAGTGTTGTAATCATAATAATGACACAACAGGGGGTTCTGGCTTGTTTTGCATGGAAATAAATGATTTAATTTGTCTTAATGTCAAAATAGAACATTGGGTCAAAGCTCTGGCATCCCCAGTGGAGGAAGGGTTTTATGTTCCTTCCAAAAAGAGCATGAAAGAACAAGGATGAAGAAAACTTGACACAACAGTGAGCCTTGTACAAATTTTGGATCCAGGTATCTGTAGTATAGGGTGAAATTAAAATATAAATTTTAATCTCTCAGCAATGAGACTTGGACACATGATGACACTTCTCACTCAGAACAAGATTTTTAAAGAACCACTGCTGGTTTTTCCAGATTTTATTCAGTCTCCCTCATTCCCAGCACTTTTTTAAACATTTCACCTGTTTCAAACATAGCTGTCATGAAAAAACGTTACTAAGTGTGTATTTTCAGAGTTTATAGACATGTCCATTCTTACCAGCTATGTCTGCTGCTCTATCAGACCAGTCAATCTACGGACTACTGAGATATGCAGGACCATCTTTGGGAGCAAACTTTCCTTCTCATCCTTTAGAAAAGGATACAGGTTATTTGCAGGATT